AATTGTTTTCCTACTTTCCACCCAAGTTAGATTCAGTACTAAGATGGGAATATTCCTCTGAATTTCATCTTGGCAGTCTTGGCTCTGTCTTTCAAAGACTATAGAAGATCACTTTGCTTTACAAAATGCCAAATACATTTTGGGGATTAAAAACGTTTCCCTATTACCCAAGAAGTAGGATTTTTAAAATAAAATATGTCTCTGATGTTACACAAATGCATATAACATTATGAGAAGTCCTTCCAAGCCCAAAATTATCTGGTTTCTATGTAATTATGCTCTTAGTAAGGTTGATTTGAACGTCCTAAACAGTAGCGTTAGAGGAAGCGTCTCTAAGAATTATTCTTAATTACATAGCGACCATTATTCATAGAAAACTGATTTATTGGAAACCTATTACATTTAAGGCCTGAGATTAGTTCTGGGAAAGGATACAAATATAAATAAGACACATTTTCTGCTTTAATCAGGAAATATTTTTAGCTTAACTGGTGTAACGGATGAATCCAAGTAATTTTTCTTTTGGGGAAGTTTTAAAATCACTAGTGAGATGATATTAAGAACACGAACACATACTTATTCACCACCTAGTATGTGCAAAGCACTATGCTAGTTGGGAACTTCAAAGAGGATTAAGATTCCATCTTTGCTGTTAAGGGAGGAAAGACTCAAATAAGCTATAATAAGATAAGAGCAAAGGCATGGAAAGAACTGCAAGAACATAGCTCAGAAACCACGCATAAACAGAATTTACGAAATTTAGATATGGTATGTTATGCAAGAGATAGGAAATTATATAAGCCATTAATTATTGGTTTATTATTTAGTGATACCATTAGCATAGTCAGGCGAGAATGTACTTGGGAGATCAGTACAAGGGGCTTATAATTCTGGCTCTGGCACATGATATTTAAATTCTGTGAGCTCAGTTTCCAGATCCAGAAAATTCTCATGATAATATCACCCTTGGAGGGTGTTGTGAGAGTTAAATGAAATAGTGTATGGAAAGACACTGGTGTCCTGCCTGGCACATGGTAGGCCTTCATTAAATAGAATTATTATATCTCTGCTTATGGCTCTTTGGAAACAAAAACCTGTTCCCTATGAGCCAGCATGCCCTCTGTTCACACTCCATCCCCACTGTTGTATTCCTAGGGTAGGCCACCGCCATGTCTCCTAGGGTAGGCCACCGCCATGTCTCCTAGGGTAGGCCACCATCATGTCTCCTAGGGTAGGCCACCGCCATGTCTCTTAGGGTAGGCCACCGCCATGTCTCCTAGGGTAGGCCACCGAAATGTCTCCTAGGGTAGGCCACCGAAATGTCTCCTAGGGTAGGCCACCGTCATGTCTCCTAGGGTAGGCCACCATCATTTCTTTAGGCTAGTATGGTTGCCTCTTAGAAGAGACCTTCTGCTCCACTTGCCTCCCTATCATTTACTGGCCAGACAACCGCCAGAGTGATTTTATCAAAGACATAATTTAGATCACATAATTTTCTTACTTCAAACTCTTGATGGCTTTCCAATGATTAAGGGATAAAAATCAAACTTCCTCACAGCCTAAGGCAGAATTATACTGAATATCAAAGGAAGAGAACTTTTGGGAAAGAACAGAGGATAATTCTTTCTTTTGTATCTCTCTATTCTTCTGCTTGGGCTGCCAAAACAAAATACCGCAGACAGAGTGGCTCACAGGATAGGGAGATCAAGGTGTGCAAGGCTTAGCTTCTTCCGAGTCCTCTCCCCTTTGCTCTGGGTGGGTATCTTCTCCGCCTTCACTTGGACTTTCAATGTGTGTTCCTGTGTCCTAATCTCCTCTTCTTTTAAGGGCACCAGTCACACTGGATTAGAGCCCATCCCAGTGACCTCATTTTAACGTGATTCCCTTTTTAAAAGACCCCAACTCCAAATGCAGTCATGTTCTGAGGAACAGGGGGTTAGGACTTCAGCATGTGAATTTGGGAAGAACTCAATTCAGCCGATCACAACCTCTCCATGTGCTGCCCATCTGTCACCAGGATTTCTACAAGTTCTTTTCCATGAAGTTATGACAGCTGTCACTCCAGCACGTATTCTATGTTGCTTGGAAGATGACCCTTTAGAATATGGGCTCAGGGGTAGGTCTCTGTCCCACTGACTCTGCTTTTCATTCTTTTTATGTGGTTTTCATTTCGTAGCCTTCTCTTCCTTACCTGCTTTGCACCAGCCTTACCGGCCTCCTTTCTAGTCCCTGAACTCACCAAGATCCCTCCTGCCTCTGAGCTTTTACCCTGAAGTATTTTATGCCTGGAATGCAATGGTCTCTGCTCTTCCAGTGGCGAATGCCCACCCTCCACGTCTCAGTTTAAAAGTTACCGCCTTGAAGCCTGGCTCACAAATCGAGGCTTTCCCAGTCTCTTGTTCAATTACCAGCCTGTGTTGTACCTCTTAGGAATGAAAAGATTCTTCCATTTAGTTTATTATTTATACTCAGTCTCCTCTGATAGCATATTCACTTTCGGAGACAGGGAATTTATTTCATTTCATTTTTTTTCAAATTTTTATTTAAATTCTAGTTAGTTAACATATAGTGTAGTATTGCTTTCGGGAGTAGAATTTGGTGGTTCATTACCTACACGAAGCACCCGGCGAGACTGGGAACTCTTAGGTCTTGTTTACCACGGTGGCACCAGGCCTACTATGGGATCTGACCGGCAGCAGGTGCTCGCTTGATTAATGTTTATTGAGTGAGTGTCCAAGTGAAATCCCTTTACCAATCATGTATCTGTAGACTCTCAATCTCAAAGCCCAATATGATCATGTAAAGCAAATACTGAAGAGTATCACAGACTAATGAAACAAGACTAAGATTGTAATTCTGAACACTATTATTTTTCAAGAACCATTAAGAAAGTATTATGTAAGGTTTTGAAAATACCTGTTATTCACTATATGTTAAGTAATTGAATTTAAATAAAATAAGTAAAACAAAAAGAGAAAACACCCACCATTATCATGGAATCATTGTAACTACAAGAATTAGCATAACCCCACACACCTTAAAATAAATTTGTAAGCAAAAATATCATTGGCCTAATTCTTCTACATGTCCCTCGCTCTCATTGAACATCTCTGGTGTTCATGTTTTACAGGACATAGTTTGGTAAATACTGTTCTAGAAATTGGATGAACACTGTAAACTAGAATAAAGCGAACTGCATCACTGTTGTTCTGAAGAAACCAGCAGAGTGACTTGTGCCACTCTTGAACCACTTTGTGCCACTCTTGAACCACTTTGAATCAATTCACCAAGAAGTGAATAGGTCTGACTTGTAGGAGAGTTTATCTTATCTAAAGTTCAACACATATTACCATCTTCTTGGATTGCCTGTCTATTCCTGGAATATTTTGGCTTAATGAGCTTATGACCATCATATTTTTGTTGTTGTTTACAATTGCTCATTCAAATAAAAATCCAATTAACTTCTCACACTTATTTTTATCTGTTTACCTAATTTTTAATTGTATCTTATTTATCTGTTTTCCAAAGTATGTGTGTGGTTATTCTTTTTGAAATGAAAGCTCACGATAGATCAATCTAATCTATACCTTTTCTTTTGCTGTACTTACAAAGGATATATTTTTCTTAGGATACTTATTTAAGAGGGAGAAATATTCTGATTCATTTCTATGAAGATAACTTTAAACCTAGGGCATTAAGCCACACCAACTGCTCTTTGTCTTTTTTTTTTTTTCTTTTTTGGGCATAAAGCCAATTGCCCAACCAGTATCCAAAGGAAATAGTCCATCTTGATAACAGATGTTATGCTTTCCAGTACAGAATATCTACCCCCTGGCCAAACAATGGTATCAACCATCATTTAAGGAAATGATGTTGAAGAGGGCAGCAATTTTTAATTTTTATTAGTAATAAAAGGGTATATATAATAATAACGACTATCATTATTGAGTGTATATATTCTAGAGACTGGTACTAAGTCATTTACATTTATTATTTCAATTAATACTCATTAAAACCTTTACCTATTAGGATTCATGACTTGACTAAGATTGTATATTTAATAAGTGTCAGAGCCAAATTTAAATTCCACAGTTCCTGATTTTAAGCACCATGCTAAACCCAGACTGTGACCATTTTCCTTTGTCTAGAATCTGTGTCAGTCCTGTTGTCATGATGCCCTCCCTTCTTTTCTGCCAAACACACCCACATGTTTGTTTCCGAACCAGTCTTATTAAGGCCTAGGAAGGATCTCAGTAGTGGCCGGTATCAGAAGCAAAGAGAAACTACTACTTAATAAGTACTCTCATAAGAGAGTCACTATGTTCAGGGTCTTATATGAACAATTTCATTTGATCCCTATCAACAGTCTTGCCTGATGTGTGTGGTTGCTGCTTTTGAGAGGTTCAATAGCCTGCCCAAGATCAAACAGCTAGTAGGTGGCAAGAAGTGAATAGGTCTGACTTGTAGGAGAGTTTGTCTTTGATCTCAGTCACCAGTGGACGGTCTGCCTATTGTTAAAGGTGACATGAATCATTTTTGTGCTTAGGTTATTTCCCAGAATTCTCAGCTCTCCAAAGATGCATCCCTTACAACCATTCAAGTTTATCTCCTTCTCACTCTTGTGGCTAAATTCCCTCTTCTTAATAGCTTGCTTCTCTACTAACGGCCAATCAGATGATGGACTATAAAAAAATTACAAAGGCTAAAAGCTTTTGTTTCCTGCGCTGCCTGTCGTAACAGTGCCCGGAGGTGATGTATCTTTGAAGAAACAAGGTTCCCCTAAATAATTGGGTTTTATTTTTGTTATTTTTTTCACCGTAAATAAACACTGCTTTCTGATTCTGTTCTTTTGTCTACATTTTTTTTGTAGAAATGCATTATCTCACTGAAAATTTAAGATGCCCATAAAAACACATCATATCTGTATTTACTCTTTAATTATCCTCCTTGCCTGTAAAATTGGTAATTTTTTTCACTCTTACTTACTTCATACCTACTAGGTCCTGTTACAGAAGTAAAAACTGACATATATGTCACCAGCTTTGGACCTGTCTCTGATGTTGAAATGGTAGGTATTTGGGAAATTTAATGTACCTCTTGAGGTTTGAAGAAAACATGGAGAAGAGAGGGCAATTAATATTTATCTTGTTGTTAATCACACACAGCTAGAAAGTCAAAGAACTGCCCAATTAGTCTCAAAAGCTTATAAGGAGTAAGACATTGAATTTGCATTTCTAACATTTGACTATTTTGTGATTTAGAGTCATTCTCAACAAAGAAGAGAACTTTCCTGTTACTAGTCTCCATGGCACCACCTTTTATGTAGTGATTTTTTTCCTTAGAAAAATCACTGAAGAGAAAATTGAAGAATATAATTAGTTTTTGTAGGAAACTCTACTGTAGTCCTAATTGCATTTAGTATTCCATGTTGGCCCAAATGCTCACTCCCTGCCCCCACCCAACCCCTTCTTGCCCTGCCTTTCTCTCATGCTGAAAGAGATTAGAACACCAAACACTGGTCAGGATGAACTTGTCCATTCAGTTGTGCCCTCTACTAATAAATATAAGTAGTTTAAAGGTCAGAGGGCCTACTTTACCTTTTCCCTTGACCTAAGGCTCCTGGGCTAACTTTAATAAATTCTGTGAATATAAAATTGCTTTTTACATATTTTACTTTGTCCTAGAGATGCTTGCAATTTTATGATTAATTATGAAATGATATTTGTTACACTTTTACTAATTTTTCTACCTGGTCTAAAGTACAACTGTAATTACCTGGTGCTGGCAGTTTTATTAAATTATAGTAATTACTCTTGAATGATTCATGTGTATGGTAATTTACTTATCTAATAAAGTAGAAGATTAAGGTATCAAGATGGACAAAACATGTTTTAATTGCTGAGAATCTTTTAGCTCCACTGGTTTAAGAAAATTTCTGCTTCTATTAATTTAGGTTTTTTTGGGGGTAGTTTTTTTCTTTTTATGAGTGGGAAGGAGACTAGAATTTAATGCATATTTATGTGTAGTTGTCTGTGATTTGAATATGTCACAAACTAATTTCCCTAGGAATACACAATGGATGTGTTCTTCAGACAGACGTGGATTGACAAAAGACTAAAGTATGATGGCCCAATTGAAATTTTGAGATTGAACAATATGATGGTAACAAAAGTATGGACCCCTGATACTTTCTTCAGGAATGGAAAGAAATCTGTTTCACATAATATGACAGCTCCAAATAAGCTTTTTAGAATTATGAGGAATGGCACTATTTTATACACAATGAGGTAGTTATTTTCCTCCTTCACTTTTTGTGCTTTTTTCCATTCTTTCCTCCTTCCCTTTCTCTCTCCTTCTGTCGTTCCTCCCTTCTTCCCATCTTTCTCATTTTAGGTGTCCTTAAGAACATTTTTTAAAGTGAGAGTTAATTTTAATTCCATTTCTCCACTATAGACTCACCATAAGTGCAGAGTGTCCCATGAGATTGGTGGATTTCCCCATGGATGGTCATGCATGCCCTTTGAAATTTGGAAGTTGTAAGTTACAATACAAATATTCTTAGAATTATTATTATCTAATGCAAGCTAATACTTACATATGTGTGTGATTTCCCATTATCCGTTTAAATCATTGTTGATGGCAACTCTCCCAAGATTTTACTTTTAGGAGACTATTCCAACCCCTTTTCCAAAAGCCAAAAAAATCTATATGTACAGCTAGCCCAGGTAGACTGACTTGTTGATAATAGGTTGGTGGTCAGTGGTGAATTTAAGGACCTTTAAAGCCCATGTGTTGGTGGTGTGACAAGAAAGTGCAAAGGATTTTTAGTGGGGAAGGGAGTAATTGAGCAGTGTCTGTTACAAGCAGACTCCTTTATGGCAGATTTGAAGAAAGGTGAGGGAAGTTTCAGGGTTTCTTAAAATGACAAGGGTTAGAGTAATATCAGCAGCACTGTTAGTATCAAAGTGGCTGAAGCACGATGAAAGCATAGCAGGAGACATAGTCTGATATATAGACAGCCGGATAATATACTGCCTTATAGACCACATTAAGGAGTTTGGATTCTCGTGTAAACGCTACAGAAAGCCCTTGGGGCGTTTTGCTAGGAGATTTGGCATTCTTTGACATTTTACAATTTCATTTCAGCTTTTCTATGGAGAATGGATTGTAGGGAGGTTAGAGTAGAAGCAGAGAAGAGTTGGAGGCTATTGCTTTAGTACATCAAAGATGGTGGTGGCTTAGACAAGGACCCTACTAGAGGAGAAGCTGGGAGGTGGGTAAATTGGGCATATTTTGAGGAGGTGAAGGCAAGCAGGTGAAATGAATGGGTAGAAAAGAGTATGAAACTCTTTCCCCCTAAGCCACCTTCTCTGAGATGGCAGAAAAATGAGATTGCCTCTTCTAATGTCTGCCTCAAATCATTTGATTCAATCAGAATCTACCAAAAATAGGTGCTGGCTTTTACTGCAATAGTAAAAGATCCTTAGTGCACTGATTGTGAAACTCTTGGCTATTACCGTTGCTCACTGCTTAACTTAATGAGAATTGGCCATTGCCCTTCTTTTACAACCCCTAGTAATCACAGTATTCAGTGAGCTAAGTTAATGCTAGAGAGAGTCATTTGCTTTCTGACCAGTGACTTAATGAGAGAAGATTAAAAACAAAACAAAACACACAGGAAGGATGATCTCACTGGGGGCAGGATTAAAATTTATCTTTACTATAATAATAATAATCATATAATAATTTAAATTTCACCCCAAGGTATTTCTTATCTATGGGAAGTTCTTTCCCACTCAGCCCCCCCCCTCCCCCCGCCGGTTCTCATACACAGCACTCTTCGGAGTGACGTGAACACAGTGGATACTCAATCAAGGTACTAAATAAAGAAATCACTCTTTGGAAGTTGATTTTTGGGATTAGGAATTAAAAAGAGAGCTACCTTTTGATCGCCCTCACCCATGTTGCCCGTGCCCCCACTTCCTGCCTGAAATACTGAGTCATTAAGAGAAAGGTTATTCCACCCAGGTAGGCTAGCCAAGAGGAGGATGCCTGATTTAGACTCTGAGGGGCAGGCACAGAATGTTCAGGGTCTTTTGAATGTATGATGAAGCATGAATATACTCAGGAGAGAAATGTTGCCACGTAGCTGTTCACCGCTAACTGACCACACAGGCCTCAGAGTTTTGTTTTGTGAAGTCGCTTGTAAACATAGTGTCTCCCCAGGTATCAACTCCTTGGTAGAATTAAATGGTCTCACTGAGGACCTACTGTGCTCTAGCCATTTTAGGAAGGTCTGGGCAGGGAACCGATTCTTTTGAACATACTTGTGTGTGAGCCAAGCTGTCTGTGGTAGGTGGACTGGTAAGCGAGCAGCTGGCTTCCATTCCCATTGAACACCGAATAATAGAAAATGGGCTTAAATTGCCACTGGGATGCATTCGTTGAAGGCGAAAGGGAAAATGTCCTGACTGTGAGAGTTGAAAGGTAGTGGGATTGGTTGTGTGATTATATTCCCTGGAGAGCTTTACAGACAGCAGAGCCAGTCGTCCCTGCAGAATGGTTCCCGACTGGCCTGTGTACTGCCCAGAGGCAGTCTGCAATGGGCGACCCCTGGAGAGCTGGCCCCACAGTCCGATTTGTCTCTGGTTTTGTTGCTGTATTATTATTCTAGGCAGCCTCTGGTACGTTTCTAACTGGCGGAACTGCCTTAGGATGGAGGAAGTGAGTACTGGTCAAACCCTGGAAGGGAGTTAGAACGGAAGGAAGTGCCTTCTTGGTGGAGGGGCGTTATTTCTGCTTCTCAACTGCTTGTCCTATTAGTATGGACACACATCCAAACGCACTGATGCATGTATGACATTTAAGTTGCCTTAATTTTAGTCTCTCCTTCTCTGATTCTTTGACATGAAAACAAGAAATCAAGGCTGTTCATGTAATCTCTACAGCTTTCCAAATCTTAAACATGTTTGAATAAATCCTAATGATGAGTGTTTACTTTTGTTCCATGTTTCTTGAACAAGTGTAATATTCTTAAGTGTTGACCATCAGTACTGGTGAAAAAGGACCACTGACTCTAATCCCATTCTGGGCTCTCATTCAGATGCGTATCCGAAGAGCGAGATGATTTATACCTGGACCAAAGGCCCTGAGAAATCAGTGGAAGTTCCAAAGGAGTCGTCCAGCTTGGTCCAATATGACTTGATTGGGCAAACTGTATCAAGTGAAACTATCAAGTCCATTACGGGTGAGATGCTTAATGATAAAAGTCACTACTTGGCTTTCATTGTCTAGCCTGCAAATGGGATTGAAAACACGTTTTGGGATCTGAATCTTCTGAATCTTGGGCTCCACTGTCTGAGAATAAGACCACTGCTTTCCTAAGTAACTTTCCTAATATGTTGCTTTCAGATGTCACGTTAAAAGTATTTATCAAAAAAATAATAAAATAAAAAAATAAAAATAAAAAAAGTATTTATCAACAGCTACCAGAAATCTTTTTTTTTTTTTTTTAAGATTTTATTTGTTCATTCATGAGAGACACACAAGAGAGAGAGGCAGAGACACAGGCAGAGGGAGAAGCAGGCTCCCAGCTCAATGCGGGACTTGATCCCAGACCCTGGGATCACCCCCTGAGCTGAAGGCAGACGCTCAACCACTGAGCCACCCAGGCAGCCCCCAGCTACCAGAAATCTTAGAGTTTGTTTCCCTTATTAGCTTTCTAGATTTTTGTTTAAATGCCCAAAAATATACTTGAACTCAGGGATGTTACAAATGGCTCTGTGCTATACACGTCTCTTTGTATTTTTTTCACATGTATAACATTTAGAAAGACAGCTCTTTCCTAAAACCAAGGCAGTGAGACAGCCTCTCCCACAGCATATATGTATATATAATGTGTATTTCAATTCTTTCCAAATTAAACCTTAGATTTTCAAATGTGTGTATGTATTTCCATTTTTTCTAGTAATTTTTCCATAAAAGTTAGGTCTAAATTTTGCTCTTAAAAATGCTGAAATTGAAGGCTAATTGCTTTCTCCGTACCAGACCTTTAAAATAGAAGGCACTGCAAGATTTTTTTTTGCAAGGTTTTTTTTTAAAGTTGTAGCTTAATTTTTTAAATTGCTTAACCACTGTATAGAACAAAAGTATTTTTCTGTGTAATGATGTTCAATATCCTTTCCTCCCTAGTTAGGAACTATATATTTCTCAGTTTGCTTGCTGTGTACAGCACATCATTATTTGTCTAAAATACTGTTGAGTCTGAAATATGATTATGAATTCATTGACTAATTGGTGCATAACCAATAATACACTTTCCTCGTGTTTTATTTGCAGGTGAATATATTGTTATGACAGTTTATTTCCACCTGAGACGGAAGATGGGTTACTTTATGATTCAGACCTACATTCCATGTATTATGACAGTGATTCTTTCTCAGGTTTCATTCTGGATAAACAAAGAATCAGTTCCAGCTAGGACTGTATTTGGTAAGTGCAATTCATTTCTTGGGCATTTTTGTTCACATTATATTTTGATCACGATTCACGGGAGTAGCTCTTTGATATCATTTTTTTTCTAAGAAAATATTAAACAGTGATCTATCAAGCTGTATTGAGAAAAGAATCACATAGCTTGCTTGCTTGCTGGATTTCTTTCTTTCTAAACTTTCATTTTTACCCAGTGAATACAAATAAGACTTGAGGGGTTGTAGGTAGGCCATCCCATCCTTTGGGGCCCCATTGTATTTCCCTTTTTGAGACTGGTCAGATGCAGACCAAGTGGGAATTTGGATATGATTTCACTTTTCGTGATATTCTTGTGCTCCTACCTTAATGCTGTGTAATTGAATTAAAATCATATCTAGGTGTTAAAATGAAATGCAGTGGGAACTTAAAATAAGACAAATAAAAGTCATGGCTGAATGAGTATGAAAGCCTTAGAATAATTTGCCTTTTAATGAAGAGGAACAAAATGCAAGTGGTTTAAATGCATTGAGTTGAACGGTATTATATGCTTAGTTTATTAACTCATTGTTATGTGCTATTTACATCTTTTTTTTCCTGAACATAGTACATTTTCCTCTTTTTGTTTTTATAGTGGCTTCCTGTATATCATATTTTAAACAATATAAGGTCCAGAACACATCAGTTTTGAATTTTGATAGCTGTTGATAAGTTTTCTATATATCAGCCATGCTTTTAAGTAATATAATTAGTTATAATGATATTTATTTAATTTAACATATTCCTTTATTCTTTTTCTATTGATTGCGAGTGACAAAAGCATTCAGTAGTAGGGTAAGAGGAGTGCTGGTGAGAAGAGACTGGGGGGAAGTGGGAGCTTCTCATCTCACTTTCACATCCTTATAGAGAACTGATCAGGTGATGTCTTAGTGTCCTCAATGCACTTAAACATGAGGAAATTTTCCGTAGACACCTACACTCCCTCTGAATCTTAGGTTTACTCGAGAACCCTACTGGAGAAACTGTTACAGGAGGGTCCATGCTGGGGGCAAGGTATGACCCCAGGAGGCCAGTGAGCGGATATGGCAGGTATCATGGCACTACCTGCTTCATAGAGCCATGAGGGTTCAATTAAAGAAGAACTAAAAAAATAAAAAAATAAAAAATAACGACCCGTTGCAAGTGTTGAATAAATTTTAACCTATTAAAAATGGGCGTAAAAATGAAAGAAAAGATAACAAATCTAAGCTTTGGACTGTAATAGATTGGGGTTTGAAACCAGAATCTGGCACTTGTTTTCTCCGTCCTCATGTATCTCCTCCATCCTAGTACATCTCTTCTTCATAGACTAGTGAGGATTTAGATTGATGTGCCGTGCTCATGGGAGGGCGCGTGGTGCACTTAGTACATGTTCATGACTCTCTCATACTTCTCTAACATAGAGGAGATTTATTTCGTTGTGATTTATTTTTTTTTTAAGATTTTATTTATTTGTTCATGAGAGACACACAGAGAAAGGCAGAGACACAGGCAGAGGGAGAAGCAGGCTTCACACAGGGAGCCCAATTTGGGACTCAGTCCCAGGACCCGGGATCACGTCCTGAGCCGAAGGCAGATAGATGCTCAACCACTGAGACACCCAGGAGTCCTGATTTCCTTGATTTTTAATTGCTTTTCAGGAAAACATATTATTTTATTGTGTAATACCAGGCAAGTCCTTTATGCTCCTTATCTCACTTAGTGTGCATAGTAAACTTGGGTCTTTGTGTATCATATTCGGAGTCAGCCTGCCTGGGCAGGAAGTGCCTGTGGAGGCTGAGCACAGACCAAACTCCCACAGTTCTCCCTGGCACAAATCATATCAATATTGCAGGAATGGCTATCATTGAAAATAAATATAAAATCACCAGTACACATATTATCACCTTTTTGAGGGAATATCTAGAGGAGAAAATACTGACTCATCATGTGTGCATCTGATGAAGAGGTAATGGTGTCCTAACACAGATTCTGCGGCCAGGCAGCCTCGGTTCTAACCACAAGGTCTACCACTGATTTGCTGTAAACCATCAATGTGTTACTTCTGCTCATTTCCTCATGTGTTACGACAGGGTGAATGGTTATACCTACTCTCCAGGGTTGCTATGAAGATTAAATGAACTAATTTGGATGAAGCACTTGGAACAATGCCTGTCACACAATAAATTTGATTTATCTGTTTATTGCCCTAACTGTCCACGCTGCCATCTACCCCATTTGAGTGTCACTACTTGATACTATAATGTGAATGTCCTCTGAATTTTCTAGTTATTGTGATTGTTTGATAAACTTTGAAAGCTTTTTTGGTTGAATACAAACTGGTAGCCGCTGTGCTGTCTCACTTGTCCCCTAACGATAGAAATCTCCAGTGGTGTGGAGCAGGATGACATTGGTTACAGATGTGTCCACCCAACATTTCCAACAGATAAGACACCGTAAGGAAATTGAGTGGCAGGTAGTAAGGATACTGGTAATACTACTAATGCTGATGGTAAGATTTGACATCTTATGTAATCTTCACCATAACTCAGCAAGGTAAGTGTTGTTGGTTTTTCATAGATAAGGAAAAAAACTCAAAGAAATCAAGAAACTTGTATAAAGTCACATACTAAAAGTGATGGACCCAGGACAGCTTCTAACTTCGAGAACCCTGCATTTCTACTCTGCCATTCTGTCTTCACAGGAAGTATGATGATGTAGGCGTTTGTCAAATATTCAGGAGCTTCTGAGTGAGGTTGTATGGATGTGTGCTGAAGATAATTTGTGGGCAGCTTTTTCCATTTGAACTGTGACATTTGCCTGTCTTGTGCTCGTGTGCCAAGATGTTGGTTTTGATTGACCAGGGAAATTATGCACAATAATTAAGTCTTCAAAGACCTAAGATGTGTTAGAATGGTAATTACTAAACTGTTCATTGAGGCACTGAGATGGCATTTTCCTAAGGAAGTTAAGTTTTTAAGTATTTGGGGAGCATTAGTAATCTATTTCGTATGAGATTTAAGTAAAACATTAATTCTGGGCTAGTATTTCTTTTCCCTGATTTTCATTTCCTCTTCACTCAGGGAGGGAAGATGCTGGGTCAGGGTTGTCACTAGAGGTCATGGAAAAACAAACTCTCTTCCTTCCCCCCCAAATTAATTAGTGTAAATATGAGAAGCAGAGTATGCTAAGTTCTCTCCCAAGGCCTTCTATCTGCAGAGTTGTATGCCGTAAGTCTTCTAATTATTCCAGTATAGTAAAATGTTAAACCGGAGTAAATGCCAGCTGGCATATCTAAATCATTACTAGTTCGTTTTCGTGGAGTGGCCAGCCAAAAATTTACTCTTGTGCACAGTCTTAGCCTACTCTTACACGTCCTCTCCCAACTCCTGGGCCAGCCAATATGGTACATATTCAGCATTATAAAAGCAGGTATTGGCATCAATACTCGAATGTGTAAAAAAAAAATTCTATGGTTGTTGAAATGTTTTCAGGGTAGATGCCAGCTAAGCCATTTAGAGCAGATGCACTGTCTTCCTAGATGCAGAGGAAAGCATGTCTTCTTATCTGAAGGGTTGGCTTCTGTTTGCTACTCTTTTGGTGTTTATTTAACCAAATTCTCTGTCTAAAAACAGCTGTACTAAGCACATTCCTGTCATGCTAGTGTTTTCTTTAAGTTTGACCACAAGGCAGAGAAAACTTTTTGTCTAGAAGGACGGCAACTTCAAACACTTGGCCAATTGTTTATACAGGTTACTTTCCTAACTTTGCCAACAGTCATAAAATGTGAACCATAATATTTGAAGGAGTGTTCTACAAACTTTAAATTCAAATGGACTCGGGATCCCTGGGTGGCGCAGTGGTTTGGAGCCTGCCTTTGGCCCAGGGCGCGATCCTGGAGACCCGGGATCGAGTCCCACGTCGGGCTCCCGGTGCATGGAGCCTGCTTCTCCCTCTGCCTGTGTCTCTGCCTCTCTCTCTCTGTGACTATCATAAATAAATAAAAATTAAGAAAAAAAATTTAAATTCAAATGGACTCAAACCAGTGAAAGAGAAATGGAAAGTGGCCACATATTTTTTTGCAAGATGTTTTTGTATTTACGTCCATGGCATCATTTAACATCTTCGTGAACTTGGTGATCTACGCTTCCTAGTGATCAGAAAGTCATTTTGAGATTCAAGGCTCAATTGCCTAATATCCTATTTACTCAATTGCCTAATATCCTATTTACTTAGCATTAATAAGGGAATCTCTTCACGTGACAACAGGAGAAGACGAAGACCACTACTTCAGGTCTGCAGGAGAAATTGTTCCGGTACCAAAAAAAAAAAAAAATAAATAAAAGTTCAAAACAACATGGGAAATCCTAAATCACTAATATTTGAGTTTGAATTTTCCTTTTTGGTTATCACATTCTGCTCTGTAGAATTTTCTGAGTTCAAAGTAGTATTCTTATTTAGGCTGCACTGTTCATGTTTTATATCCAAGTACTTTCAGCATAATTTCTGTGATAGTAGAGGAAATATACATACCGAAGGTGTAGAGCATTTTTGAATTCTTAATAAGCTGTTAAACTTAAATTTTTATGAATAAGAGGAAAAACTTTGATTTATCTTCAAACTTTGTAGCTAAAATTTTCCAAGTTAATTTACATCTCACAGGCAGCATGGGAATGCTGCCATTTTTCTGAGATCAAATGGAGGCCTAAAAGTTCTAGAGTCTCTCTTTTTTTTCTTAAAGATTTTATTTATTTATTTGAGAGAGAGAGAGAGAGAGAGAGAGCACAGAGGGAGAGAGAGGAAGAGGGAGAAGCAGACTCCCTGAAGAGCAGAGAGCCCAACACGGAATTCATCCCCAGGACCCAGAGATCATGACCTGGGCTGAAGGCAGATGCTTGACTGACTGAGCCCCCCACGTGCCCCTAAGGTCTCTTTCTGAAATGAAATCCAACAAATCACAGTACTCCATTTTCATAGCGATTTTGATATCTTCACATCTGACCCAGCAGACTTTTAAAAATCTATTTCAGATGAATACAATTCTAAAAACAAAAAAACAACAAAAGAACACACACAATTTATTTTTTTTTTAAGGGAATACAACCAAATCTGCAAGTTTCTTTCTCTGTGGAGTTTATGGACTATTTTTAAAAGATCTATAGTTTATACAATGCACAGTTGCTGTGATTTTTTATGTTCTAAACATTAATAATTCGGAAGGGACTGGAGGAAAAATGGATTGGCGAGGAGCCGAAAAAAATGAGTTTTTATTTATTATGCATTTATCAAGTATTCAGCATTACATGAGGTATGGTAAATCCTGAAATCCTACAGTAAATGAAACTGTAGAGATAGGCCTCATGCATGGAACAATTAGGGAAGAAGGCAGAAAGTAATTAAATGCTGAGCTGAGGAGACAGTATAATTTCTTCCTTATTTCAAATATTATCATTCTTTTAGCATTGCATGGGGCTCCCTATCTCTTCAGTTTGACATGTATTATTTGGCTTTTGGTAAAGGATTAACACGATTGGAATATGTAGTTTAGGTGACTGTTTCATCATCATCATCACCATCATCATCCTCCCCAATTCAGGAGCTATTCTGGGCATTATATACAATGAGTTTAAGTAGATAGAGTAAGTTCTCAGAGAAATCCCCAAGCTTCGCTAGATAACATAGATGAAATACACAGATAGACAAAGATGCAGAGAGAGACAACTATTAACATCCTTCAATAACACATTTCTCTATAGCCCCAGTAGCAAGTGGAATTTTTCCACTGAGATGGAGACTAACCTTTTTTTCAGGGTTAGGAGAAGGCTTTCCTGAAGATTATATGCCTCAGAAGCCTACTGATGGAAGAAAGGTACCTCCATTCTTGTTGCAAAGATTTTCCTGCCTACCACAAGCTGATGCATAGATGTCCAGTATTTTAAAAATCAAATTATACTCGAAATCTATTTTTCCAGAAAATATAAGTTATTGCTTCTTGTGACTTAAGCTTTCACAACTAGATTATTATTATTTTATTATTATCTTAAGTCAGTGAAAGGTTATAAGTATCTATGATTCATGATTGTTCTGGTCGTGATTCTCCATTGCAACGGGCCATGGGCCATGGCTATCTCAGAAATTCTGATCCTCCAAATTACAATGCTATCAACTTCTCACTTCCTGTTGAGAATGAGTGCTTTGATGAGCCACACTTCCTGCTGGGTGTGCGAGTTGACTTTCTCAGGTATGTTGGCTCAGCTACTGATACCAATCCAATATATGGTAGGTGCCATAGATACTTGCAATCTTTACAGCAAATGCGATAGGTAGGTATCAAATGAAGCCCAATGAGTTTTCCTCACTTAATCCAAGTCCCTCTGAGCCCAATGAGTAGAAGAGCCAGGATTTTAATTATATCCATCTCTTACTCAAAAACTTGTGCTAATAATTTCACTGAACCACTAGGGTTTGAATCTTCCATCAAAGATGGTTTGGTTTGAGATATTACAAACTTTGTTGCTCCTCCCCCCACCAAATCCTTAGGTTTGTTGGTTTGTTTGCATGGAACTAATGGTAAAGTATTTTGTCTCTTTGCTCTTTTGCTTCTGAAGGAATAACCACAGTCCTCACCATGACCACACTGAGCATCAGTGCACGGCATTCATTGCCCAAAGTATCCTATGCGACGGCCATGGATTGGTTCATAGCTGTTTGCTTTGCTTTCGTGTTTTCTGCCCTTATTGAGTTTGCTGCTGTCAATTATTTTACCAATATTCAAATGGAAAAAGCCAAAAGGAAGTCATCAAAAGCCCTCCAGGAAATACCAGCTGCTCCAGTGCAGAGAGAAAAGCATCCCGAAGCACCTCTGCAGGTATTTGACTTAATCTCCTTCAGTTTAAGATTTCAGCTCTTTGGTCAGATTTGCATGGCCAGGGGAAAAACTGAAAATTAGAAAATCCCAGTAACAATTTCTAAGTCATTAAAATCCAGAAAGAGAGAAAACGGTAATTGTAGATTAAAAGTTTAAAATTGTGATTAATGGCTTAAAAATTTAAAAGGTCTGGATGAGCTAGATTTATGTGGAGCTAATTGTTTGAAACTTCCTGCCAGAATTAAAAATTTTGACAGGGGCGAAATCTGATGTATACTATTGAGAGGAACCTGTGGATATCTTTGAGTGGGTTGTGAAGGCATTTTCATAGGGTTAGTTGAACAAAGTAAAGCAGAGATTAACTTGACCCCACAATGGAACTATCCCATGGGGCTGGGTGGGACCTGTGCCTTGTATCAAACAAGAAAATAAAACCAATAAACAAGAAGACCCATAGTTGTAGCTGATGTACAGCAAAGATTGAAAATTCTTGTCCTAAAGGGACAGACCTAAAAGAATCTAAGAGCTACTGTAATTCATACTGGGCACATTAGTGATTCTGTTATTTTAAAAAAAGTTTTTAAGTAACTTTTTCCTTATCGACTCTGGTTGTACAAAAACAGCAAGATCATCATGAAAACAGGTAAGCAAATAGGCAGCTCCCCTTCATCTTTTCCCAAATCCCCCTCCTCCTCCTCTACTATCTGTCTTTCTTTTTTTTTTTTTTTTAAGATTTTATTTATTTATGCATGAAAGACAGAGAGAGAAAGGCAGAGATGTAGGCAGAGGGAGTAGCAGGCTCCGGGCAGGGAGCCTGATGAGGGACTTAATCTGACACCGCAGATCACACCCTGAGCCAGGGGCAAGTGCTCAACCATTGAGCCTCCCAGGCATCCCTACCTCTTTCTTTCTTACTCTTACTCTACTCAGCTTCCTTGTTGAATCAGCAGACAAGGGTCTGTAGTCACTTATCCACGTCCTTACTGTAGTCGTGACAAGTGGTGGTCCAAAACTCTTTTGCCCAAATCAAAGAATATGTAAATTATCATTTTTGTTGTCTGTAGATAATAACCCATTCCCTTATTTATTAAATCATTCATTAATTCCTTTATCTTTTAACTTGTTCAAAAAAATACACATCCAACTCCAACCATTTCACAGACTCTGTTTATGGTCTGTGTACATGTACATACCCCACTCCTCCCCCCAACAAATATCCTGCTCTATGGAGATTACGCTTAAGTATTTAGGACGAGGAAAGGGAGACAGATGATTTACGGAGCATAAATATTATATGTGCGGCGTGTTAGATGGTGACCGTGCTGTGGTAGTGCTGAGGGACGGACGTACTGCTGGGATTCCATTCAGAATACAGGTGGTCCCATATAATACCTTTTCCCTTGAATTCTATTTGGTCTGATTTTTATACTTTTTATAGTCTTAATATTAACTTTTGTAATATTTTTTATGACTAATTCCTTATTCTCTATTTTCTCACAACTTTGAAAGCTATGTATCACATTTTATATCACTAGTGATTAGCATTTAAGTTTTAAAACAACATATTTCTACTAATGATTTTCTAATAATATTGAAAGTATAAAACATGTGTACCACCTCTCCCACATACCTGTTAACTTCTCCCAAACCCAGGATTGCTCGAGTCCAGAGATTCGGGATTTGGAGACATATTTTATATACATATTTTTTTTTTCGGTTTATAATGAGTTGCTATAATTCTCTTTTCATTTTTGCTAAGTACACTTGCACCGGTGCTGCAATGGAATATTATAAATACTTAAAAATGCCACTTAATGAGAATAAAAATATTTTGCAGCATTTTCCAAGGTGGGAAGAGGACCAGTAATCTTTATTCGCTCCTTTAAACATAGCTCTTGCGTGGAGCAGCTGCCATTGCCAGTAAATGCTCAGTTGAACACATGCAACGGGCTAAGTCCACTCTGATTCAGTAACTCCTCTTGGCAGGATGGGTGACCTGAGTGCAAATGACATAAGCAATGTCGAGAAGATTAAATCTGTTTGTGAAGGCTTAGATCTATAGTATTTAAGGGTTGGGGAGGAAATCTAGTCAAAATGTACATCCTAGGCTTCATGTCCTCTACAGTGTTTGATGATGTCTGTGTAATAACTCTGATCTCCACATCGGCTTACTTAAAGGGTATCTGTGTCCTAAAGACAGTGATGAATAGGTTTGCCCACCCGTCCTCCTAAGTCCACGTTCCTGCCAGAGCACAGCTGGCTTTGGAACGCCAGTTGTCATTGAATGGTTTCAGTATTAAGTTCAACTTTCAAGGTTGAGAACACATTAAAGTTGAGGGGGCGGGGGAGGAAGCGAGGGGAGGAACAGAGCAAGAAAGAGAGAGGGAGAGAGAGAGAGAGAAACAGGGAGGAGGACGTTTAGAAGGAGGAAGAATGTGCTAATAGCAAAATTTTAAAACATATTGTTGGAAGGAAATATCCTAAGAATATATAAGGTTTGGGGTTTCGGTAGAGATTCTAATCAGACAGATGAAATTTGCTTATTCAAATATGTACTCCAACTTGTATGGCCGTTTACTTATTTGAATGATGCTGCCTGTGTTTAAAATGTGCTTAAACTCCTTATTTGGAATTGCCCTGAGAGGCTACATGACATTTGGTAACTCAGCAGTCCCCTGGGTAGGGTCACCAGTGGTTGGATTCATTGTCACCGTATGTGACCTATAGACTATTAATGGTCTGGCAGGGGTTTAGGGTGACCACTTCTATTCTCTGGGAGTTGGAAAGAGGGTGGTTTATGGAATATTCATGAAGTAGGGAGAAAGGGCCAATTGGCAGAATGTAAGGGCAGCTGTGGGCAGCTCAAATATGTCTTTGGGCCTCTCAGGAGGCAAAACAGCTGCTCTGCTTCTCTGCTGTGCGTCACCTTGACTCTTCCCTTGATCCTGTCCTTCCAGTACTTGAACTGAACTTTGCTGCCGTATCTGACTACTTCGGAGCCGGTCTGTCCTCTCGCTGATGCAGAGGATTTGGATTAATAGGATGGTTTAGAAAATAAATACATATACAGGGCAGCCCTGGTGGCCTAGTGGTCTAGCGCCACCTTCAGCCCAGGGAATGATCCTGGGGTGCTGGGATCAAGTCCCACGTCAGGCTCCCTGCATGGAGCCTGCTTCTCCCTCTGCCTGTGTCTCTGCCTCTCTCTCTCTCTTTGTGTATCTCTTATGAATAAATAAATAACATCTTTAAAGAAAAAAAAAAGAAAAGAAATACATATACAAAGGAGAAAATTTTGGGCAGCCCCGGTGGCTCAGCAGTTAAGCGCCACCTTCAGTCCAGGGCCTGATCCTGGAGACCCCGGATTGAGTCCCACGTCAGGCTCCCTGCGTGGAGCCTGCTTCTCCCTCTGCCTGTGTCTCTGCCTCCTTCTCTCTGTGTCTCTCATGAATAAATAAATAAAATCTTTAAAAAGAACAAAGGGGAAAATTTCTTAAAATCACATTTAACAAAATCACTTGAAAATATATCCTATAGTCCTTGTTCAGTTAGCAAGTATGCATTTATGAGCGTATGTTATGTCTTGTGAAAAAAATCCAATGCTATGATGACTAAAATTGCTTGAGCTCCCAAGTTGTGTCAGGTACTATGTGATGTGCTTTACATACGTTACTTAATTTCAAGGTCATGATAACTATTTTACAAATGAAGAAACTGAGGCTTGTAGTTGTTAAGTGATGTACTCAAGAAACGGTAAACCTAATATTTAATTAATCCAGCTGTATCTGAATGCAGAACTTGTTCTCTTTTATTACAACTCTGTTTTATAGTCTTTATGATATACCTACAAAGAACAGGCATTAGAATGTATATATTATATACATACATAAAATGAACAGCCCCACAGTCTTGTTCATATTTCCATAAATAAGTAATAATAGTGAAATGCTATTGTTTGAAGGCTCTTAATGCGTCAGTAACAAGAACTTTTACAGGCAATCAGGCCTTACTGACCGACTAGAAATGTTGAGTGATGGCATGGGTGATGAGATGGTGGTGGCATCATTCACTAGAATAGAGAAGAGCAGTGAATCACCTTTAATGAAGAAACTAATTTGTTCAAGTTTAAATAGTGGCAGTTTCCGTAGCAGGAGATTTTTTTTTTCCCTTCCCACGATAGTGATGATTTTCTTTTTTCAAACTGCAAGTGCATCCTTCTCCATGGCATACCTTTCCTTTCCCATCTACCCAATTTCTTGGTCTGTTTCCTTTTCACTGTAGCTATTCTTCACGGACTTTTCAGTTTTAAAGTGTTTGTAGATTCTTACAAGGATATTTGTAAAATTTTAAAAAAAGATTTTATTTATTTATTCATGAGAAACAGAGAGAGAGAGGAGGCAGACACACAGGCAGAGGGAGAAGCAGGCTCCCTGTAGGGAGCCCGATGCGGGACTCGATCCCGGATCCCAGGATCACGACCTGAGCCAAAGGCAGATGCTCAACCACTGAGCCACCTGGGGTGCCCATGTTTGTAAAATTAAAGAGCTATTTGTTTTACTTAGAGTCTTTTTAAAAAAAAGATGATACAAAAATATATAAATAACTCAAAGTGCCTCTTGGATTCAATAATTTAAGTGCACTCGTGAGAATCTCCTTTTTTTTTTACCCTCCATTCTTCAAAGTCAAACTCAAGCCTTGTTTCTCGTACAGGCCTCATTCTGACCGAGGTCAAGAATCTCAAGGACATGGTCTCAAGGATCCGTATCTACAAAGTGGGGGTGATAATGGAGCTTACTGGCGAGGCTTATCATGAGGGTTAAATAACATCAGGCATGTTAATAAGTACATAGTATAAGCATAATGCCCAGCAAAAAAATTGTGTTGTTATTATTATCCTTTATTATTGAAGCACGTCTTCAACATTCAAAGTGATGTATCACAAAATGTGTCATTTATAATATCCTGAAGTATTTTGCATAAGCAAATTGTTTCACGTATGACTG